CTGATGCCCTCTGAAATGTCCATCAGGGCAAAGACTATGTCAAGGACCCACAAGCTTCTGGATGCAAATCAGCATCTTTTGCAACCATTTTCAGGGGCTGAGGGGGATTGAGATGTCACAGGGCAGAGCAGCAGCTCCAGGCACCCACCAAGAGCCGGAGCCAGGCTCAGCTCCACTGCTTCTGCAATTGAACTCCTTTGCCCCCAACTTTCCAGCCAGAGCAAATGACTGACAGAGACTGATGGTGTCTCTGCCTGTGTGTAATCTTAGAGCCGCCTGGATTTGGGAAATCTCTTTCATTGCTTTAAAAAAATAAGCAAGCGACTAGACGGAAGGGTCCCGATTAACTGGGAAAATCTGGGCTAAAATGCAAATGTCTTCTCAGGTTCTGGCCTTGAGAGCCATGCCAGCTGTCCCAGGGGAGGTTGACAAATCCCAGCTCAGGCAGCAGCACCCAAGGTACAGCCCCAGCCCTGACCCCTGCCGTGTCAGCAGGTCCTGAATGCGGAGCTGGAGCTCCCATCCAAACCATCTTGTCTGGAGAAGTCGGGATGAGGAGCACTTGGTGGGCACTGGGATTGGCTGCTGGTGCTGCAAGCCCTCACTGCCTGCTCTGGCCGGGATGCTCCTTCCCCTGCTCCACAACAGCTGCTCTCCTCCGGGCGCTGCGCTCCTCAGGCTCTGAGGGACAGCTAGAAACAGTCAGAGATGACGTTATTACATTGAATTGTTCACAGACAGAATTTCTCAAACAGGAATTTATGGAGGATTTGGCATTCACCCCCTGGCTGTACCAGCTCCCTTCCTGCCAGGTCCCTGAGCACCTGACTCTGTGTTTATCTCCCTCCATCTCCACAGCATCTCACCAACAAGTGTGCTGGTTAAACCATGACAACACGTAAAGCTGGAGCTGAATCAAGAGAAAACAAATAGAGTGTCAAAACACAGCTGAGAGGAGGCTGCATGGGTGCAATATAAACTCCCCCAGGGATTTGACCAAAGCCCAAGGAAAGATGGAAAGCTGTTGTTCCCACAGATTTTGAAGCAGGTAGCAGGCCTTCCAGCCTGCACACAGGAAAAGTGGGATGCTGCTCTGTGTCTTGAGTTAGAATGGTCTTTGTCAAATGTATAACCATGTCTCCTGTAGCTGAAATAAATTGAATTTTCAGTCTGAATGAAAAAATTCCAGATCAACCATCTGCAACAGGCAAGATTCCTGTTCCTTGTCAAGGAACAAGGCTGTGGGAGAAAACAAAAGGTAGGAGGCTACTCAGAGCTGGTGTAATCCCCCAGCTCTGGGCTGCAGAGGATGCTCTGAGTTGGTACCAGTTTCCCTCCTTAGACTGTGAAAAGGGTGAAAAGAAATATCTTCCATGAGGAGAATCTCCTAAACACCAGCAGCTCTGCTCTGCCTCTCCTGGCTTTGGGATGGGCTTTGTTGAGGGATGAGGTGGCTTCAGTGCTAATCACTCTCAGGGGCACAGTGAACTTCCCTAGGATTTAAACATAAAAGGAATTTTCCCTCCAGCTGCTAGCATGGAGTTGGCTCTGCCAGCATTGTGGAGCAGAAGGAATGGACCAGAGGGAGACACGACTGGATACCAGGAAAGGTTCTTCCCCCAGAGGTGCTGGCACTGCCCAGGCTCCCCAGGGAATGGGCACAGCCCCGAGGCTGCCAGAGCTGCAGGAGTGCTTGGACAGCGCTGCCAGGGATGCCCAGGGTGGGATTGTTGGGGTGTCTGTGCAGGGCCAGGAGCTGGACTCAGTGATCCCTGTGGGTCTCTTCCCATTCAGGAGATTTCATGATTCTATGAAAAGTGACCTCAGGGACAGCACGAGGCCACATGCTGACAGAGGATCCTGTTTTCCATCCCGTGTCAGCTCATGCCTCCTGCTGCTTTCCATTAGCTTCTCCTGAGCAGGGACCCATGTCACTGCAGTGAGAAATGTCTCTGCTGGAGCTACACAAAAAGGAGGAAGCAAGCTCAGGTACCCCAGAACTGACCTTTGTCCCTTGTACAGGAGGGGCACCAGTATTTGCAGTACTAACCCCTGAACACACTCTCCTGAGATTGCTCTGGCCTCCACAGACTTTGGTTTAGTGGGCATTGGGCGCAGCTCCACAAAGTCATTGAGGTTCCCCGATTCCTGGTGATTTAAGTTGTCAGACCCTCCTAGCCCTTCCCTCCTCTGATGCTTTGAGGGGAGCAATGCTGGAAGGAGGAGACGCCTTACCTTGGGAGAATCTCTGGGATGTAGCTTCCCAAAGCTACTGAATAGGTTGGAGTGGTACTACAGGAAAGACCCAGCAAAGGTTGTGCAGGTGTGTGAGCTTGGAGCAAGGTGCTCTGAGACCCCACAGTATCCTGGAGCAAGGGGCACAACTCACCCACCATGTCAGCTGGCAAGGCAGTCCCATAGGCAGCACCCCAGCATGGTCATGGAGCCACCTCTCTGCCTCTTGAGGCCACCCACCAGGGCAATATTTGAAGAAGAAAAAAATCAAAGAAGATTAAAAATTCCTTAAAGGTTAAAAAAAAATGTTGAAGAGGGGAAAAAAAGATGTAAAAAATTTGCCTATGCACATTTGCCTTCAGTGCAACTCCCAAGACACAGCTCTTTTGCCAGGGGAAGATGGGCTGCACTTGGGGTGCCAGACTGAGGAGCAGAGATAGCTGCAGTTGCAGAGGCAGATGAAGCATGGCAGGTCACCCAGGTGCCATGGAACCTCAGCACGAGGTGTCCTGGGAAGCAGTGCAGTAGGTGGTGCAAGGGCAGTAGGGTTGAGTGCAGGTGATTGAATCGCTGGATATTCCCTGTGTGTCCCATCCTTGCTGTCAACGGAGCTGGAGCATCCTGAGGTCCCTCCAATACATGTCAGTCACAGCCCTGCCCTCCATCCCACACTGGTTACAGCCACAGCCTGGTGTCCTTGGGAGCACCACTGATGGTGCTCCTTTGGCCTCAAGCTGGCTGGGATGGGATCCCTGTGATGGGACATGGGCCTGCACTCAGGAGGGAGCCTGGAGCAGTGGTTTGAGGAAGGGATCGAGGGCAGACTGGGACCAACCTGCCAGAGTCCGGCAGGAGGGAGAGCTTCAGCCAGCACTGAGGACGGGTGAGAAGAGGCAGCAGAAAAAAAGTGCTGTGTCCTTCAGGGGCATTTGCTGGGGGATGGTTGTTTGGATGGGAAGTGGGCTGAGGGTGGGCTGTAGCTGGATCTTTGGTCCAGCTGTTGTTGGAGGAGAGTCCTTATAGATTCCCATTTGAGTTGGGCAATGGCTGGATGTGTTGTGCAGGGCTCTGGCTTGTCAGTTGACCTGGAAGTGCCAGGTTAATGGTTAAACTCAATTATCTTAGAGGTCTTTTCCAACCTTAATGATTCTGTGATCCTTATTCATCTGCCTGGCAAGAGCTCCCAACACTGACCACCAGGTCTTCCTGTACACCAGAGTGGCAAAAGTCTTGTCCAAGCAGAAAGGAAGGGGTCACAAATTTTCAAAGCCTGGTGTCACCAGGTTGGCCTGGGGCTGGTCATTTATCTTTGGTTTGCACACATTCTCTTTGGGCGTGTGTCAGGAGTCCCTGAGCCAGAGTGCTCCCCAGCATGGCCGCCTTTAGTGGCCGGCTGTGTCCCTAAGGTTTGGTGGAGCCCTTTATTCAGGACATTTTCAAAAAATAGCTGCCCTGAGCAGTTCTCTCTGCCCTGAACTGGTGTTGACAGCATTGCTCTGTGTCAACACATGTAGTGACAGATGTAGGCCAAGCAGGTAGAAACTTTAGAGCTCCATGTTGTTGTTTTTCAATGTTGGCTGATGTCCAGGGATCATTCCTGGTCACTGCACTCGCAGTGTTCCTCCAGGTCCCCTGAGAGCGCAGAGCTCACTCACCCTGCGAAGTTTTAGAGGGATCCATCCTGAGATCCCAACTTTTTCAAGCCCCCAGGATATGTGGTGGATGCTTTGGGCTGAGAGAGGGCAGGACGATCAAATTGCGGCATCAGGGACTTTGCTCTTGCAGATTCCCTTGTTGGAGGGTGAGATCTCTTTGCCACAAGCACTGGACCACGATGACTGATGCGTGTGAATATTCACAGCGCGAATGGCTGCAAACCTGCTGATGGCTGCAGGGGAACAGCCTCCTGCTCCCTGCCTGCCACGCTGTGTGCAGGCACCAGCCTGGTTGGTACAGCCCAGCGGCGAGATAAACGTTTTAATCACTAGGAATGAGTTGAGAGCAACCCAACCTTTAGCTCAGAGCAGCTTTCTCCACCACCTTGGCATCACCTCTCCCAGTTGTCCAGGCTGTAGGCCATAGTAAATTGGATGTAACCAACTCCAAGCTCTAAGAGAGGAGGGAGGAAACCACCACCTTGGACTTCTTCCCATGCAATAGTGATAGGGCAGGTTTTTTAAAAGCATTTATAATATCAGGCACTACTAAAAGTGTGCCAAATATTTAGCTGACTGTTAAATGAAACTGGTAGAGTAATTTTAGAAGCCTCAGGGACAACAGGGAAATGGGGCATTGAAGTGAGTGCTGTCAGGTATGGTAGATGCAGGTGCTACAGCCAGGGCAGAAAGCAGGAATCACAGTGCAAATGCTGAAGGACCAGCTCAAGGCAGTTGAAGGGAAATGGAAGGTACAGCTCCACAGAAAACACGGAGATACTGGGCCTGGCGTATGGCAAGAAATAAGTTTGGACACAGGTGATAGAATCATAGATTCCATTAGGTTGGAAAAGCCCCCTAAGATAATCAAGTCTAACCATTACCCCAGCAGTGCTAAGATCACCATTAAACCATGCCCCCAGGTGCCATATTAATACATCTTTTGAACATTTCCAGGGACAGTGATCACTGGAAAGGGGTGAGAGAGAGAGGGATGGTGCACAAAATCATGATGCCAAGAGGGAGAAAGTCGCAAGGAGCTTGAAAAATAGAAAAATGTGTCATGATAAAGGCAAAAAAAGGATGCCAAGAATAGCAAAACCACCCTACTTGAGATAGAGAAAATTTATTTCTGAGGGTTAGCATTAGGGTTAATCCCCTAACCTCCAAGTAATCTCTTCCTTGGAGCATCAGGGGTGACTTTTTTCCCCCGTGAGCTTTTTGGAACATCTGAACTCAGCAGAGGGTGAGTGTTGACCTCCCGGGCACAGTTGGAGGGTTCCACTGGGACAATGTTGGCTTGACTTTCAGAGGACACCTTTGCCAAATACTCCTTCCTGGTCCCACTGGGGAAGGGCAGCATTAGGCAGCTGGGCAGGGTTGCTGAGGCTGGTGGCCCAAGGCTGAGGAGCAGGCAGTGGGGGTGAACAGGGCAGGTCCAAGACCTACATAGATTTTAGCAGAAGGTGACTGAGGCCACCTTCTTGCCATCCCATATCTCATCCCATCAGTTCTCCTGAAAAGAAACACATGAGCTGGTGAGTAACCTCATTAAAACCATTATTGAACTACTTACATAAATAAAACTTCAGTAGCTCTGTGCTGAACATGAGGGACACTCTGTGTACCTGTGTATCCATGTCCCATTCATCTGACCCTTGCGGTGATATTTTTTCCCCAGGAGAATTTGGCCAGTTAAAGACACATTGCGCAGAGGTGCCAAGTGCTTGTTGGCCCCGGTGGCTGTGTGGCCTTTGCTGTCCCTGTCACCTTCACCGAGATTTGGGCCAGCCAGCTGCTCTCAGGCCCTGAATGTGTTCTGCTTGCAGCAGACAGCAGGAGCCAGCCAGCCCCTGAGCTGCTGCCAAGGCTGCTCATGCCAGCCACTTGTGGCAGACTTTGAGAACTGCTCCTTTAGACTCACTGACGAGAGCAGGGTAATGTATTTCTACTGGAAAATAAACATATCTCTAATGAAAACCTGATGCACCATCGAGGGCTTTTTTTGGTTCTTTAAGTGAAAATTAGAGCTTTTGTCTTGTCAGACCCAAGCCTTTCCTCATATTTGCCATGCCAGCCCATCACCATTATTTCTCAAGCATAAAGAGATCCTGGAAAAATTAAACACACCGAAAGCAGAATGATAAATACAACCAAAAGAGACAAAATACATTTGGCTGGGAGTTGTGTTCTTCTCCTCTATTTTCCTCTTCTCTTTTCTTCTTCTCTTTTTCTTTTCTCCTCTCCCTCTCTTCAATTCTCTCCCCTCGGTCTCACCTTCCCAAGAGTGGGCTTCCTGTGCCACACGTGGTGTGGATGTGTGGATGTGAAGCTTCTCTGCCTACAGCTGAAGGAATAGGAATGACTTTGTAACAAACAGTTTTGCTCAGTATCTTTACAACTGGCTTTGCGTTCAATTAGTTCTGTCTGACACAAGCGAAAAGATAAAACACTGTGTCAGATGAAAAACTTCGTTGGTAAGAGATTATCACTGATGCTTTGCTGGTGCCTGTGAGTTTACCTGCTTACAGCCTTCCAGTTAAAACATTTTCAAACATGAACTAAAAATGCCCTTTAACCTTGTTACAAAATCTTCCAGGTCTTCTTTAGCTGGAAAAGAGATGCCAGATAAGGAAAAGAAGCAAAAATAAGCAGCTGATAACCACTTTAGCCTTTCAGAATGTGCCTTTAACATCACATCTTTCTTCTTACACAGAATTATTTTGATATGGCATATGTAACCTTTCCAATTTGAAATATTTTAATTAAGGGCGAGACTGGGAACTGGGCTGTGTGCCCACAGGGAGCTGTAAGAGGGAAAGTGAATGTGAATGGACAGCACTGCTCAGCCTTGGTCCGTGCAGGGGGAAGGGAAGGGAAGGGAAGGGAAGGGAAGGGAAGGGAAGGGAAGGGAAGGGAAGGGAAGGGAAGGGAAGGGAAGGGAAGGGAAGGGAAGGGAAGGGAAGGGAAGGGAAGGGAAGGGAAGGGAAGGGAAGGGAAGGGAAGGGAAGGGAAGGGAAGGGAAGGGAAGGGAAGGGAAGGGAAGGGAAGGGAAGGGAAGGGAAGGGAAGGGAAGGGAAGGGAAGGGAAGGGAAGGGAAGGGAAGGGAAGGGAAGGGAAGGGAAGGGAAGGGAAGGGAAGGGAAGGGAAGGGAAGGGAAGGGAAGGGAAGGGAAGGAAGGGAAGGGAAGGGAAGGGAAGGGAAGGGAAGGGAAGGGAAGGGAAGGGAAGGGAAGGGAAGGGAAGGGAAGGGAAGGGAAGGGAAGGGAAGGGAAGGGAAGGGAAGGGAAGGGAAGGGAAGGGAAGGGAAGGGAAGGGAAGGAAGGGAAGGGAAGGGAAGGGAAGGGAAGGGAAGGAAGGGAAGGGAAGGGAAGGGAAGGGAAGGGAAGGGAAGGGAAGGGAAGGGAAGGGAAGGGAAGACCTCCTACCCCAGGATCAGTCACTTTGGTGCCTAGTGTGGATGCTCCGCGAGGCAAGACCCCACGAGAGGACTGTCCCCTGGATGTGTCAGTGTCGTGAAGTCTTTTGGACTGCCAAGCACTTCTGGTGTGCTCCTCCATTTTGTGGTTGCTGCAGCTCCCAGAAGTGAGAAAGACAACCTTCTCCACCAAGTGGTGTGGTTCCTGGACTTGAGGAGACCCTTCTCTGGGTTGTGGACCCTGTCTGAGGATTTTCATTCTGAGCATCACAGGTCCCATGAGTATCCTGATGGCTGGGACAAACCTGACTAGGGTACTCTGGGTGGTGTACGGTGTGGTTGCATTCCCACAGTGAAGGGGAGATGTAGCCCACTGTGTTAGCACCCCACCGCCGGTGGTCCTTGGGCCCTTTTTCTTTATTTTTCTATTCTGCCTTGGGAGTGGGTGGAAGGAACCAAGTAGATTACCTCTGAAGATGGGTGCGAGGTTGTCTACTCAGGAAAGGGAAGTCGATGTCCAAGGTGCAGGTTCCCTGGTGGGAGGGGGAATGCATGTGTCTAAGGGACACATAAAATATTTTTTAGATGGATATTCCTTCATTTTCCAAATGTCACCCCCCCTTGAAGTAAAAATGGTAACATTTTGGATTGAGGTTGAAGCAAAGCTCCCCCAATGTATGTTAGAGGGAGATAAGTCAGAACATGATTTCTTTCATCTCTTTGTTAAAATGAGATCCATCTTGAGCGACTCAGAGGGGAAAATGAAAGAATGTCAAACCAAATCTTCCCCAGTTTCTCCTGAAAGCCCTGTTCATATTTCCTTTGCTTCTGATCCCCAACTCTCCACACTGGGTGGATCATGGGGAGCAAACTGTCCACAGCAGACACAGGGCAGCCCACGCATTGCAGAGTGTCTCCCTGGTTCCCCATGATCTTCCCGGTACACTCTTTGCTCTGACAGTGCTGGCCACACTGTCGGGGACTCTTCCCTAGTCCCTAGTACCTCGTCCCTTGATCCCATAGGAAAGTCCTTAGGCAATCTCCAAGATGGTGTTTCTTCCACCCCTGTCCAAGGATCACAAGGTGGCAAATGCCACGTGGCATGGCCCCCGTCTTGTGGTTCTTCTTCCCACAATCCTTTTCTCCCTTTTCCCACTACTCCATCCTGTCCTTGGACCCTCCTCAAATTTCTGACTCCTCCTCTTGCTACATCCCAAATAGTTTGGCTCTACCCCTGGTACCTCCCACTGCTCCTCCCCTTGAATTACATCAGCCAATCCCTGCCCCTCCCAGTGTTTCCTCCCAGTTTGGCCTGAACTCCACCTCTTGGCTTCCTGGTCAGCTCCACCCACTTCTGGTTTCCCAAGCCCCTCCTTCCAGTTTCCATGGTGACATGGCGGCAAGGTGTGATGAGAGGGGAAGCCAGGAGTTGTAAAAGAATGACAACGTTGTCTTCGCCGCTCCCGTTACCTATGATGGTAGGGGGACGCATCCTAAAGGAGTGCCTTTCTCCTACGAAAATATAGAAGAGCTATACAAGACCCAGAGGGAGGTCAGCAGGAACAGTGAATATTTTAAAGGCCTTCTCAGAACAACTTTATTGGCAAATACCCTTGTCCCTGGGGATCTAAAGAAAAGAAATATTCGCCAGCCTACTCACACCATCAGAGTATCGGCTTTGGCTGAAGGCCTGGAAAGGACAACTTGCCAACCTCCTTCCAGGGTTTTGGGATAGCAAGGTGATGGCAAGCAATGCAGATGGCAATCCAATTACCATCAGGCATCTGGTCGGTGAAGGCGACTGGGAGCTGGCCAGAAAGCAAGCTGAAAAAATCCCTAAGGCCATCTTAGACAGTGTTAAAGAAATGGTTGAGAAGGTATTTCAGATGTTACTAACAAGAGTTACTTGCCCAGTTTTGTATCATTAAAGCAGAGAGTGGATGAAACGTTTCTAGATTTTGTGGACATGGTAAGAGAAGGAGTTGAGCATAAGATCCCAAAGCCTGAAATGTGTGAGGAGATCATCCTAGAAATTGTAACTGAAAATGCCGATGAGGACTACAGATGGATCATCCTCAGACTCCTGTCAGCTCCACCATCCTCATTGGACCAAATCATGGAGGAATGCACATGGAAGGCAAGACCAAGGCAGGCAGAAACACCAAATAAAGTGACCTTCAGAGAGAATACAATAGCTGCAGTGGATGCTCTATTACCTGTAATTCTGCCATGGACACCAAGATTGTACACTTATTTTCATTGCAAGCCAAAAGAGCATTTAATCAGAGATTGTCCCTTTCTGGAGAAGGCCCCCCCCCAGTTCCACCTAGAAAGGGGGGAGGACGAAAGCAGGGAGAACATGGACAAATAAAAAAACTAGTGTGTGAGTGTGACCCTGCTCTGTGTGAAGACAAAAATGGGGCAGAGCATGGGGTGGTTGGCAGTAAGGAATATCAATATAACAGCCCCTCTGTTTTTTTTTCTACACAGGATGTGACTGATCCATTTCGGCTTCACCTTACCCAGACTATGACTTTTACTGACTTGGACTGGAAAGAACTCTACGTGGACCCGGAGCAGGACACCACGCTCTGCAAGCAGGTCCAATTTCTATGCCAGCAGGGTTATGAGTACCTTGTCATAGGGGACACAAAGCACACACCCTCTGAGATGGATATTGCGCCTGGGGTCCTACCACCTATCCCAGAGCATCTCATTCTCATGGCGCGCTGTGTCCACCCCCACCTCTTCCTACCCAAGTGAAACGTAGATGAAATATCAAAACCCCACAATTCCTATAAAGATTTGTAGGGACGGTATGTTTATTACAGTGCTGGACGCATGTGGGGAATCATTCACCTTCAAAGGACATGCATGCCCCTGAGGACTCCCAATCCTTTTTTATTACCCTTAACTAATTCACATATGCATAGAATTTCACAATAGGTTCGTGCATATTCATTCTGCTGATTTCGAATTACACCTACATCTAGTTACACTTGTACTCAGTTTTTGTCAGAAAGTACAGAAAGAACTCCTGGGTTACTCTGCCCTGTCTGTTTCAAGGTCTGAGGAGTCTTTCTTATCACTTATCTCTTTAGCTTGGAAATTCGCATTCTTTCTGTTCAGCTGGGCCAGTTTTATTAGTGTTGCAAAGTTACCAGACTAAACAGCATATTTTACTTATGCTAGCAAGCTCAAAGTGTCATATTTCACCTAAATCCAAATGGATTTCCAATTTTCACTCTGTCTCACAAGGGCCAGGTCATCGCCCAGGCCATTCCAATGCCACAGTTATTATGGGACTACATGGACCTTTCCATTTATTATACCGAACTGGTGGGAGAGGAGAAGCCCTCTGCAGACTTAAAAGCAAGGGGCACAAAATCCAATTCAGAGGATGATGGACACAGGGGCAGACATGACTGTCATTCCACTGCACAAGTGGCCATCATAATGGGAGTTGCAAGACGTGGGTTGCAAGGTCCAAGGTGTAGCGGGCACACAATTGGCAAAACAGTCAAGGAACATTGTGCAAATTACAGGGTCCAGTGGGCAAATGGCAAATATATGCCCCTTTGTGTTGAATTCCAAATTTACCCTGTGGGCGAGAGACTGCATGTCCCGATAGGAGTCAAACTGGAGATACCAAAGACTCCCCAGGGTTTTTGATTGCAGTCACTGAAAAAGAGTGCCCTGCTCAGAAGTTAAATTGGCTGACTGATACACTTGTGTGGGTAGATCAGTGGCTGCTGAGTAAACAGAAATTAAGTGTGCTCAATCAACTCATGGAAGAGCAGTTAGACAAAGAGACTAACAACTTAGAGACTAACAGCCCTTGGAACACCCCGGTGTTTGTTATCAGAAAGCCGGGGAAGGACAAGTGGCCCCTCCTCCATGATTTTGAGAAAAATTAACAATGTCAACCAGGGATGCCATCCCCATTTGATGCTCCTACAAAACTGGCAATTGGCAGTCACAGACATCAAGAGTTGCTTTTTCCAAGTTCCCTTGCACCAGGCTAATGCGCCACTTTTTGCCTTCGCAGTTCTCTGCATCAGCCGAGAAGCTCCCATGTGGCGTTACTATTGGTGTGTTCTTCCTCAGGGGATGAAGAACTCGCCATCCATCTGCCAATGGTACGTCGCCGGTCTTGTCCCCAGAGTGTGCTAGAGCAGGGGAGGGCATCATCTATCATTATATGGATGATACATGCATCTCCAATGACAACACACTCACACACGTTCTCAATGAAGCTATTATTGCCTTGTCGGAAGCAGGATTTGAGTTAAACCATGAAAAAGTGCAGAGACTACCGCCCTGGAGATATTTAGGCCTTGAGATCACCAACCGCACCATAACGCCTTAAGCAGCTGGTGATCAAAGATGAGCCCCAGACCCTGCGGGATCTCCAACAGCTGTGTGGGTCCTTGAACTAGGTGAGGGGGATCTGTCTTCTCTTTTCGACTT